ATCCCACCACAGAATGTGATATGAGAAAATGCCTTGTCTGTGCATACTATGATCGAGACCAGGTATCAAATAAACTTACAACAATAAGTCACAATAAGTGATTAAGGATTTGCTGGTGCTGACGAATCCTACTTTATGTGTATCTTAGCATAAAAGTCGATTATGATGGCCAGATACACGTCTGCATAATCCACAATCTAACAATACAAATCTGATGTGACAGAGGTCTATTCTTAGTAGAAATTTACTCGACATGTTAGCACTACTTATTTTTTGTTTATAAGTAGGCTTTTGAGTAGCATAGTCGATTGCTCCACAAATATAACTGTGTCTAATCGACGATCCGATCACAAAATGTGATGTGGGAAAATGCCTGGCCTATGCATCCCAATATCGAGACCAGGGATCAAACAAACTGACAACAACAATGATTCTATTGAGCATACATCACGTTAGGTGATAAAGGATTTGCTGGTGCTGACGAATCCTACTTTATGTGTTTCTAAGCATAGAAGTCGATTGTGATGGCCAGATAGATACAAGTCTGCATAATCCACAATCTCACCATACAAATGTGATGTGAGAGAGGCCTAGTTTTATTGGAAATTTACTCGACATGTTAACACTACTTATTTTTCGTCTATAAGTAGGCTTTTGAGTAGCATAGTCGATTGCTACAACAAATATCGACAATCCCACCACAGAATGTGATATGGCAAAATGCCTGGCCTCTCTCGTCACTCAAATCTGACCTGTGACCCAAGGGCGCTGGTGGTACTGTGGCATAGTGGTGAACGTGCAGAGGTCATATGCTGCAGTGCCATGATTCGAGTCCCGCAGGCGGTGTTGCTAGGACGACCTAGGCGAGGTCGAAACTGCATTCAACCGTTGCCTGGTTGAAAACGAATTGAACGCAAATGGAAGCATGAGTGGGAAACATTCAACCGGATACATCTCGTTCATGTGATGTGTTGATAGTCTCAAGACCTGCTTGCCCACATGTCGGCGCTACTTCTATCGCTTGACAACGCGAAAAGCCATGACAGGCTGAGCTCGAGCCCAGGAACTGGCGCTTACCTTGCATGGGCGTCAAGGCGTCCGATCTGGTCTCCGTCAAGAACTGGTGGAACATCTTGGCTCTGACGCGAGACCTGAGCGGATAGTGTCTGGTCACTCCGATGGTCTGACGTTTGTTGAGGTAGTGGATGAGGATGTAGACGCAGACGAGCAGGATGACGTCGAAGAGCAGAAGGGAGTACCAGTAGGCGCATCTGATTGGCCTCTCCGAGCAGGCGGACTCCTTCGGGGCTGGTGGGAAAGTGTGAAATGTCGGTTATTCGCCTACCTTTGGCCAACGAGTTCAACATGTCCGCCAAGAGGGTGAGTTGCGGCGGCGGCGGCGAATATAACTTCTCCTCCTTCGACGCTCCGTTGAGTCGGGCCAGACGGGTCGATGGGCGGAGGAAAGGAAACCGTTTTCCGAGGCGTTCGAGAACGAACCCCGGGACGGGCCGGACTGCAGGCTCGAGGCGCCGACGAGTTGGGAAACCGCG